AAACTCCCATCCATCCTAAACTCCCTTCTCCTTTAGTAGTCCTGACCATGGGATCACTCCGAATGTTTCCCTAAGTTTGTTGAAATCAGCTCTCCTAAAGTCTAGAATGAGTGTTTGACTATGCCTAGCTTCTCCTTTCCACTGTATAAGAAACTCCAGGAGAACATGATCACTTCTGCCTATGGATCCCACCACTTGCACCCCATTGACCAGGTCATCCCTATTGGTTAGGATCAGATCTAAAATAGGGGATCCTCCTGTTGCCTCTTCCACCTTTTGGACAAAGAAATTGTCTTCAAGTCAAGTGAGGAATTTGCTAGACCTTGGCTGAGTTTGACTTCCAGCAAATATCAGGATAGTTGAAGTCACCCATCACTACTGTATTTCTCCTTTTTGAGTGTGTGGTCATCTGTTCTAGAAAGGCATCATCCAATTCCTCAGTCTGACTTGGGGGTCTGTAGTAGACTCCCACTATAATATCCCTGTTGTTTCCTTCCCCTTTAATTTTGCTTGAATGGGAGATCAGTGCTATGATTCTATAATTGCTACAGTCTCTTGTGTCCCCCTTTTTGTAGATGGGGATGTTAAGCCATACTGTTGTTTATAAAAAGCTTTTATTTGTCCTGCTGATATTGACAAAAAAAAACTTCTGAAAAATATTTTTAATAATATTTGTCAATAAATGTATAAACTTTGTAATTTTATAGCTCGTGAAGAACAGTTTTTCTTGAAACACATCAGCAAGAGAAATAAAGGCCTTTTTTAACTGCAGCACGGCTTAACGATATTTTGTTCCACAAAAACACCGGAGTACATCTCTCATTTTCCAGCACTTCGCTGTGTTTTCTCCTCTTCAACTCTCAACTGTGCAGAGGGCCATTTTTCTACTGTACACTTGCCCAGTGGGCAGCACCGGCTTGTTTTGGCACTTCCAAAGTGATGTGACATCGGTTCCAGCTGCCACTTTGGCAGATTCCCTCCCCATTTTTGCATTTGGAGGATCAGAGGAAGCAAACTTCAGTGGTATGGTCACATTTGGGGAGGTTTTAGTGCAAAAAAGTCAATGTCTGTGTCATCTTTGCGGTATAAGAGTGACATATTTTTCCAAGTTAATCCATGAGAACTGAGTCCCAGATAGATTTAAATTCGGGAAAGGCTGCCCTGGTTAGAATAGGAGAAGTTGGGGCATGTACTATACTAGGCACACTCCTCGGTTCCTTTCCTGGGGAGAGCTATGGTTGCTCATACTGGCCTTTGAACGATGTTCCTGCTGGACTCTTCAGCCTTTTACTGCCTTCCCCATGGTGCTTTTTGCCTTTAACCCCCGAGTTGGTATGTTGGCAGATTTCACTAAGTAATTCCTGGCTGGGTTGTGCAGATCTTCCTTAACTCAGACAACCTTTCATTAACCTTCCTTGACTTTAAAGAGTGTAATTGCATTTTAATCTTTTATTCTTGCATTATCATTCTAGACACCGAGTCATTTGAGGGTGGATAATTCCTGCTAATGTAATTTTAAGATACAGTAGTTTGAAGTCTGGTCTAGTCTTTTAATGCTTTCATTCCCTCCCGAAATGACACTTGGGCTTTTTAAAAGAATCAGAATACTAATAAAGTTCTCAGCGTCTAGTGTCATAATTTTACTGTCTGTTTGCAGAATATAATAAGAGTCAGATTCACAACCTGCTGAGAACTGAAGGGGATGGGAAATTGGGATGAAACTAATTACAATTTACTGTTATTTAAAACCTTTTGCTTATATTATTTTTTAATCATAGGGTCAGAACAGACAATTAAAATGCACATACAGTAACACACTTCATTAAACAGCCAGAAGGCACAGTTATTGTCGATAAGGTGAAGAGAAATTTGTTCAAGTGAAATTTCAACTAGCCAAAAGGTCCAGCTTGGGTATTGTGTGATAAGAGTTTATGAGTTCAGCATGTCCCAGCAACTGGATGATGTCCTTGCATTCAAATGAAACAGAATATGAGTAACTCTATGGAGAGGTTCACAACTTTCAAGATGACGTTTAATCCATCTGTGAGGTGGGCTCTAGTTGATAAAAAGAAATCTGCTACGCCTTAGGGTGCCACAAAGTTCTTTGTTGCTTTTGCTACAGACTTTTAAGTCTTTTACACTGCACAATAATAGCAGCTTGATGCCATGAAAACCAGCATGGTGTAGTGGTTTGAGTGCTGTACTAGGACTCCCAGGAGACCAAGGTTCGAATCCCCACTCAGTTATGGAAATCTATTGAGTAACCTTGGCCAAATCGCACATTCAACCTCAGAGGAAGACAATGGCAGACCCGCTCTGAACAAATCTGGCCAAGGAGAGCCTCTGATAACAGTCTCCTTTCAGTTGCCATAAGTTGGAAACACTTTACTTGCTGTGGCTTCATCTAATGCAGAGGTAGGCAACCTTTCCCCTTTAAGGGCCGAGGGACTTAAGCTCCCAGAATCCCAACATGGGACTATTGGCCAACATGGCCAACATGGGACTATTGGCCAACATGGCTGAGGCTTCTGGGAGCTGAAGTCCCTCAGCCCTTAAAGGGGAAAGGTTGCCTATCCCTGATCTAATGGAATCCTCAGGCTTGTAGTTTCATTTTAAGATTCTCTGCCAGAGATATTTCTAATACCTCAACTAACTACAAATCCCAGGATTCCATAGGATGCAGCCATGCCAGCTAAAGTATCAAACTGGTACATCTGTGCAGTGTGAAAGAGGCACGGTTACCTCTCTCAGATATTAAATATGTATTAGAAACCGTGTGTCAGATGAGTGACTTTTTTTGAACAATGCACACAGCATTACCAAAGACCTCTGAATTCCAAAGACTACACAAATCATTTTTGTTTTCAATTGCTTTCCAAGTTCTTCCTGCAAACATAGAATTTACTATTCTCACAGCTGCCACAAACTGCAGCCAGGCTCTTATATCATCTCAATGTTATATAAATATCCACTGGCAGATTTATGCTATACTGCAGTACTCAATCCCTATAGTGAATGCCACTGTAATGCAACATATGAGAAAAAGGGAATGTGCAACATGCAGCCTGCAAGAGACAATGCAATGTGCATTGACATGGGTGCATTTTTTGCACATGTGCAATGGTTCTGCATGCAGAGCTCTACTCCAGAGACTTTAAAGCTGCATCTACACTTTAATTGCCAAGGGTCAATGATATGGAATTCTGGGATTTGTAGTTTTGTAATATATTTGGTTGCGCCCGTCAGAGTTCTGGTGCCATAACAAACTATATGAGCCTTAGCAGGGGCCTTCCAACATAAATCTGCATCTGCACTGCAGAAATAATGCACATCGACACCACTTTTAACTGCCATGGCTCTATGCTATGGAATTCTGACAATTGTAGTTTGTCAGGCACCAGAGCTCTCTGAGAAAAAAGGCTAAATATCTCCCAAAGTTACAAATCCCAGAATTCCATAGTATGGAGCCATGGCAGTTAACGCTCTGTCAAAGTGCATTAATTCTTCATTGAAGATGCAGCCATAGACTGGGAGAGGGAAAGAATATATAACAGGCGAGAGACCACTAAATGGTGGAGTCATCAAAATCCAGACTTGACCAGTAGGGAACCCATAAGGTCCAGATTTGGTTCTGGGAAGTGAGGTTCTTGACTTTTTGCTCAGAGCTCTTCTGGCATACAAAGGCTGAACAAGTTATATTCCTGAAGAACACGAAGATTGAGATTTTACCTGCCTGGGCTTTAAGCAAGTGAGCGTAATGGGCTGTAGCTGGGTCATTATGACACTATTTCACCTTAAATGCCCCTCTTTCATTGCATGTTAAAATTCCTACTTGGGTGCAGACTATATTACAGTCATTTGGACATTTTGTCAAGTATGTATCTGATTTTGAAGAAATGTTTAAATTACCTAAAGTACAGTTTAGCTGCGATTTAAGGGGTAATGTCCATTAATCCCCTCATCTCCTTGCAAGTGGCTCTGACAGCTGCTCTTTGGACACAGCAATATTTGTCAAATGGGCATATAGATAATACAATTTTATATAGATTTGGCCACAGCAGGAAAGCTAAATGGTGCCCATTTAAACACTTTCTGTCATGCTATGGTATATCAGTTGAGCTTCAGTTTTCCCTTTAAATCTCTGAGAAACAGGTAGGCAAGCCACTTAACCTTATTGCAGTATTTGCAACTTTATATTGCATAGTTTGTGGTCACATAATGTTGAAGAAAGTTTGTAAGTTAGCTTTTTTGCAGAATTGTTTCAGGAGACTAAAGGTGGTTTGCTAGAGGTTGCCAATGGTGCCTTCAACGGAAGTGGACAGAAGATAGATATGGAAGGAGACCACTGGCTGGAATTCTGTCTGTGTCTTACACATGTGTGGTATAGTGGTTTGAGTGTGAGACTATGACTCTGGAGACCAGGGTTCAAATCCCTGCGGAGCCACAAAACCCACTGGGTGACCATGGGTAAGTCAGAGTCTCTCAGCCTCAGAGGATGGCGATGGCAAACTCCCTCTGAAGAAACTTGCCAAGAAAACCCTGTGATAAATTTGCTTTAGCAGATTATCGCACAAAGCTTTCCTCCCAATGCTGTTGTGGCCTTTTAAAACAGCCAAAACAGCAATGATTCTTTTCACATTACCACGCAATTGCAAACTGATAATAGGTTGCTGATGCATCTTATCACACTGTCGTTCTGTTTACTCATCAGCTATCCGAGATTACGGAAGTAAAGTAGTCTTGCTTTCATTAGGAGTGGGGGGTGTATGCAGTGAACCCCCTTTAAATCGCCTTTCTCCTGCCCCAGACAAAATGGTTGCCTCCTCAGGAGTAAGAAGTCTTGCCTTCATTAGGAATGGGAAGAGGTGCAGTGAACCTGGTTTAAATCCCCTTCTCTCTGAATTACCCCTGAACGACCTATGGCATATACTTCAATAAGGAGCTAAATGCATGATCGACAGCTATTCACGGGATTTTCCCATTCATTAAAAGCAACGGCAGAAGCACAGATTGACTACAGGAGACCCACTGCCTGGCCACAACGTCATGCGGTAAGATCTGTCGATTACAGTTTCAATCCCACTTCTATACCACTATTTAAGAACCGTGCAACAATCTCCTTAGAGTTACCATGAATGAGAAACAACTTGTAGATACACAACAACAAGGTTCCCTTATAGAAGCAGGTGGATATTTCTGTCCAATGCAGAACTTCTGAATTTATTTCCAAGGTTGCAGAAGTGGAGCTGTGTCTGCAGTATCGTTGTGTGTGTCGGGATGGATGTACATTAGGTTGAACTTTCTGTTGCATATTCCATTGTGCATGCATAGAATGATAGAACCATGCAGTTGGAGAGGGATTTATGGGCCATCTAATCCAACCCTCTGCTTAGTGAAGGATTTCCAGCTAAAGCATCCCAAGAAGATAGCTGTCCAGCCTCTTTCTGAAGATGTCCAGAGAAGATCCCACCACCATTCTAGGCAATAGTTTCCATTGCCAAGCTGCTCTCACTGTCAAGATGTTCCTTCTAAGGTGCAAATCAAAATCTGCTGTCCTGTAACTTAAAACGTTAGACCTATGCCCTGTCTGCATGGACCAAATACAATAGATTCCCCTGTTCCCTCACAGGGAGACTGGACAACACACAATCCTAAATCCAGTTCTGATACAAGCAGACCAGATCACTGCCAGCATGCTCAGCATCAGAATTGTGTTTTATCCTTCTGAGCCCATATTTTTTAAACTCACCAGTTGCTCTGTATCTTCACATAGCCATTGCACTCAGTCCATGCTTAGGTCTAATGGTTTTAGGTTACAGAAGTGTAGATTTCAATTCAACATGAGAAGGAACGTTTTGACAGTAAGAGCGGTTCAGCAACGGAACCAATTACCTAGAGGAGATGGATTCTCTTTCTCTGGATGTCTTCAAAAAGAAGCTGGATGGCTACATTTGTTTTTTTTGTTGTCGTTGTTAACCATCCTCGAGTCGATCTCAATTCATGGTGAACCTGTGGATGAGACATCTCCAAGACCCCCCTATTCTCCACTACTCTTCCCAGTCTCTGCAGATTCATACCCAGGACTTCTTTAATTCAGTCCATCCATCTTAGAATATGGTCTTCCTCTCTTCCTAATCCTTCCACTATTCCCAACATTATTGTCTTTTCTAATGAATCGTGTCTTCTCAGGTGACCAAAGTACGACAGCCTCAGTTTAGTTATCTTTGCCTCCAGGGAAATTTCAGGCTTGATCTGTTCTAGGACCCATTTATTTATTCTTTTTGCTATCCATGGTATCTTCAGCACTCCTCTCCACTCTTCTCAAATAAATATATTCTCTTTTTGCCCATTGTCTTAGCTGTCCAGCTCTCGCATCCAAATATAGTGATGGCAAACACAATTGCTTGTACAATCCTAACTTTCATGCTTAGTTGGATATGATCTTTGCTCCTTATGATCTTTTCTAGTTCTACTTCTGCCCTCCCCATTCTTAGTCTTCTGATTTCCTGATTGCAGTCCCTGTTCTGCTACATGCTGGGATACATTACCTGGAGATCCTGCATTGAACAGGAGATTGGATTAGATGGCCCATGAGCCTCCTTCCAACTCTGTGATTCTATCAACCAGAAACAATTGGGTGCATAGAGAAACTGTTTTACCCTACCCTCTCTTCTTTTTCAACTAGTGTTCCCAGATTTCTTTGCTCAAACACATCTTTCCTCAATTGCCCAGTCTCTTGTTTTATGGCCTCTGCAACAAGCCAAAGACAACTAACTCTTTGGACGTGTTGCTCAGATCCTTTTGCTTGCGCTAAGTTGCCTCTACTTTTGCATCCCTCCAACCCCCTCCGCTTCTCCTTTTTTGTTAATTGAACAATGAAGATGAACTTTCATAATTGCTTCCAAAAGATGAAAGGCTTCTGCTGTGCTCCTCTTCCGAAAGGGGGTGTTGCTGACGTGTTTCTTGTTTGCAAGATTCCCCTTTGCATATTCATTTCACGTTCCTGGGGTCATTTCCCGCTGGTGTCAGGCCTGGGACATCTTTTCCGTTGGGAACTGCTCCGCACGATGGTTTGGAGCATCCAAGGAGAAGCAGCTGGGGGCAGTGGGGGAGTCGAGATGGGCCTGAAAATTAAAACACAGTATGCAAAACTTAATCAGAAGGGACTTGGAGGAGAAAGGGATTCAGTTCCCTTAGCCTTCTCCAAACTCCTTTCCTTTCTGTGGGGCCATAGTTGTTCTGCAAATGTCAAAAGCAAAGGAGGAACATTTCTTTAGACAGGTTTTAATGGAAAGAAATGGTAGGCCAGCATGTGTGCATTATGTGCCTTCAAGTCATTTCTGACTTATGGTGATCCTAGGGCGAACCTTTTCTTGGCAAGTTTCTTCAGAGGGGGTTTGCCATTGCCGTCCTGTGCTGCTGAGTGTGACTTGCCCAAGGTCACTCAGTACGTATACATGGCCAAACCAGGATTTGAATCCTGGTCTCCAGAGTCATAGTCTAACATTCAAACCCCTACACAAGGGCATCAAGGGACAGATGCATCCAAGCAACATCGCCATGTGGTCAAGATGGTAAAAGTTACAAATGAGGAAGAACAAACAAGCTAGGAGTGGTTGCAGGAGTTTGCTTTTGCTTGATCCTACTGGGAAGGGCAAGATTTTACTCCCTCTACTCCTCTCCGTTGTTGTTGTGTGCCTTGAAGTCATTTTGGACTTATGGCATCCCTATGGCAAACCTATCCAGGATTTTCTTGGCAAGATTTGTTCATAAGAGGTTTGCCCTTGCCTTCCTCTGAGGCAGAGAGAGTGCAGCTTGCCCAGGGTCACCCAGTGAGTTTCCATGGCTGAGCCAGGATTCAAAACCTGGTAACCAGAGTTGCAGCCCATCACTCAAACCACTACACCACGTTGGTTCTTTTGATATCTCCCTCCTGCTAAGTTGGGGGCAAACTATTTTTGTACTTCAAACTCAGTTTACAACAACAGATGAAGGGGGAAAGTAGGAGGAGGAGGAGAGAGAGACTTTTTAAAAAGCTGCTCAAAAAGTGGGAGGAAAGAGGATTAATCTGGATTGTCCCAGCCAAATAAGGTACAATGTGCGGGTATTGGTTTACTTTTGGAACATTTTATCTATGCAGTGTGGCATAATGGTTTGAGTGTTGAACTATGACTCTGGAGGCCAGGGTTTGATTCCCACTCAGCCATGAAACCCACTGGGTGACCTTGGACAAGTCACACCCTCTCAGCCTCAGGGGAAGGCAACAGCAAACCTCCTGTTAACAAATCTTGCCAAGAAAAGCCCATGATAGTGTGGCCATAAATCAGAAATTGATCCCAGGGGTCTAATGACAGAGGAGGACAAAAGTAGGGCATTGCCCTCCCAAATACCAATCCTCCTTCCTCAATGAAATTTTCCATTTCTCTCATTGCTAGCGTTCCAGAGCACAAAACAGGATCGTTGTAAATCTCTAGAATTCTTGCATTTGCTGTGTTCACATTTCCTTGCTCGCTTTGCCTGGCCTCTTTCTATGGATTGGTGAATGCTTAGCTGACGTTACCGCAATGGTAGAAATTGGGGGCTGAAGGAAAATTTCAGGGGAGAACATAATTCTTATAAGGGAGGAATGCTTTCATCAAGGGAAGTATCACAGCAGCTATGGAAAGGGTGGCTTCAGTGAACTCCCCAACTAGGGTAGACATTCAGTTCTCCCAATATATTTTTCTACCAAATGGCAACCTTGGCACTTGAGAAGGGCGCTGTGGAAATTGCCAGTCCTTGGACAGATGGGAGCTTGAGGTGGGAGATATCTTTTGGCGAGGCAAACTGGGGCTGGATGGTTTCACCTCCGTCATGATGTTGAGTCAATCTGAGGTGCCATCTGCAACCGGGCACATCCACCCTCTCAGGAATCCATCAGAGAGAGATGTGGGCAGGGGCCATAAGGAGAACTATTTGAAACTTGTCAACGAAGTGCCAAGGTCTTCCACCCACTTAGTCCAAAGGACAAAAGCATCTAAATAACATATATCAGAGAGTAGAAAGTTACTGTTAAGAAGATCAAGGGAAGTAATAGTGCCACTCTATTCTGGTTTCGTCAGACCTCACCTGGAATGTTGTGTCCAGTTCTGGGCACCAGGTTTTAAATTTTAAGTAGAGGCCCAGTTGCACAACCCACAACCTTCGGGTTCACTGAATAACCTTTGTTCTTCAGAGATCAAATGTTGGATGTTGGATGATGTGATGTAGCAGCTAAAAGAAACTTTGTAGTTCTAGGATGCATCAATAATATAGTCTCTAGATTGAAGAAAGTAATAGTGTCACTCTATTCTGCTTTGGTCAGGCCTCACCTGGAATAATCCTGCATGACAAGGGGTTGGACTGGATGGCCCTTGAGGTCTCTTCCAACTCTGTGATTCTAAGAATTTATATAATGATATATAA